TTCACAGTCTTTAGCAGATGATGCAGTTCTTTTATCTCCCTTTGGCATATCCCTGACAGTTGCTAATGCAGCCATGTACACATCTGAGAGTGAATTTTCTAGGACAGCACTGTGAGGCAAAATGCTTTTCCTATTTGTTTTCTCTCTCTTTTCATCCTAGCTGCTGCTGCCACCTTCTCTGAGCCCTTTTTTATATCCTACTCCCCTTTTGCTAATCTCTGAAAAACCAAACTGGTACTTGTTGCTGGTGCTGGGACCCTATGTAGGTTCATTCCTTGTGAGTCACAAATTTGAGCTGCAGTGGCCCTGCAGTTGCTTCTTGATGCAGGAAGGTCCACCTGGCCGCAAGCTGCACAAAAATCCCTGTCTCATCAGGCCAGGAGACCAAAACAACTTACAGACCTTCCCACTCAGTGCCTCCTTCATGACCATGCAGAACCATGAGGGCTTGTCCCACTGGTAGGAAATGCTTCTGCACAGTGCACTTTCAAGAAAAAGTCCCACAGCCCACAGGACTGCAATTTAAAATGTCACTCAGAAATGTTCTGTGCCTGCAGATGGAGAGTGGAGCTGGCATCTACCAGCTGTGGGATTGCTCTGAAATGCTGTTTTGTCCGCAGTGAGACCTATTACTCTCTCCAGAGCTGCAGGTCCATAGAGCAGTTACATCAACAATGCCATTGTAGACTAAATAAAACTGTATGTTGGGGTTAATGCCTAAACTATAGTGACACTTTAATTTAGGATTGAATGTACTGCACTGATCTAAGGAGGACCACTAAATATTGGCTTATTGTGTAAACCTGATACTTTGTACAAATGATGCAGGCCTTGCTAAGGACTGTACCCTTGAAGAGGAGCTAAAAGATGGCTAAGAGGGGAATATCCTGCCCCAGAAGGAGCCAAAGGCTGGATGATTGCCTGAGAACCATGAAGTCAGTGAAAAATTACAGTAGCTGGGGAAAAGGTAAAGGCAGTGAGGGGAGACCGCAACCACTGACTCAATTTAAGACCAGGAAGACTTAACTCCCCTCACCCTTTGAGTTCGAGCAGAACAATTAAAAGACACTGTAACTTTAAATGAGATGAGGCATGTTGTTAACCAATGAGCGACAAAGTGATAAGAAACTAAGAACTGGTCATTACAGTAAATGTGTATTCCTGTAGTCTGAATTGTATAAATACCCTGAAATTCTTCAGTGTTCTGGCTTTGTGCAATTACCACCTAGCGCCCCTCTTTGCACAAGCATGAAATAAATAAATACCTCGGCTTTGTGTGTAAGAGCGGACACCAGGTAGCAAACCTTGTTTGAGGGACAGCACTGTCATCAGTGAAAAAAATGTTGAATGATGCAGAGCTGTCCTCGTCACGCTGCTTGACTTGCATAAGTGCTTTTGAAACTACTGTGAGCCCCTCACCCATTGCTTTGTAGGGCCCTCATCACTAAAAATCAGTCTTAGCATGACCCTCAGTCCCTTTCTTACCAGTTTTCAGTAACAGAAATGGAAACCAAATCCAAATCTTCACCCCCATCAGAAGCCTCAGCTGCAAGGCCGTCCTACTATTTCATAAGCTGCTTTTATTTTTGAACCTTTAGACCTGTGACACATCCTGTACAAAGGTTAAATTCAAAACTAGCTGCACAAGCATAGAAAGGAACGTCTATCTCTCAGAATACATTATAGCCCCCAGCCCCCTCCAAAAGAAAATGGAAGTGTCTCTGGTTCAAGGCAGCCTACACAACAGCGAGCTGCAGGAGCTGTAAGCTATTATTTTAGCTCCCACGGAAAGTAATTACTATAGCAACCAACACATCCCAACAGCTCTTTGGCTGCTACTGAGACACAAACAACTTGTGCACAAAGGCACATCTGAAACATGCTGTGTAAAGTGTTCTCAGGTAGCTGTGTTTTCTGAAAAGCTTCATAAAATGTGTGTAACTGGCTCCTGATAAATGACTGCCAGAATAACAGCAAGCAATTGTACCATGCCATCATCCTAAAATAACCTAATCAATGGCTCAGTATATTTATCCCTGAAGAGATGAAGCAAAAAAAAGTTCAGGCTCCATTTTAAGCCTGTGTGCTGGGAAGTACCCAGCAGAGCTGAAGATTCATTCAAATAGACAGTAAAATGGTGGGGGCAGTGTCTCCCCTTTTGTTCAGTGTACCAATGCAAACTCCCTGCAGGCTATAGTGCCAGCTCATCCTCTCAGGCTTACACAAATTTTTTTTGTAAAAAGGGGATTTAATTACATCCTTGTAATTCTGGAGGGCATAACAAGTGATGTCTGTGTTCTTTTCTGTGTCTGTGCTGCAAACAGCCCCAACAGACCTCATCTCCAGCTGCAGTGCTGGGTGCATTACTGTTGCTATCAGTGAAAAAGGAAGCTTCTTGGGTAACAGCAAACTGTAACCATTTGGCCATTGCTTAAGTATTGCAGCATTTAGAGTGTCTCTGTCCCCTTCAAATCAAAATGCTGCTGGTGTAGTAACAGCTCAATTGTGCAAAGCTACAATACTTCATGGTGCTGAGACAAACATCTTAAGTTCCACAAAAGGTCTGGTCGAAGCAACCTGGCCCAGGAGTACTGTCCAGAGATTTCCCACAGGGAAGATACAGACATGTCACCTATGTCAGGGTTGGCGAGTGACATTAACGTCACACTCCTCTGTTACACAAGGCAGCTCTGCTGAAAATGGGGGCTATGGATCTGGGTAACTGAGAACAGTTGGATCCTGTTAAGTAAGCACAACACACTTCACAAACCTGAATTGCCTTCTAAGATTTTTTTTTTTTTTCATCAGTTGAGTCCTAAAGTCTTGCTCTGGGTCCAGAATAAACAGAAAATCACAGCTGGGTTTAAAATAAAGACAAAATGAAGGAAGGAAGTGTCGTGATATAATTTAATACGGAAGTGCCTTAGGACCAAAGGATGAAAAAGGATCTTGTGCTAGTAGTTACTGCACAGCAGAGAGTTTTGGTTGACTGTAGCCTTATAAGCAAAGTCACTTTATTTTGGATTAAAGAAAAACATCTGGAAAAAAAGCACAAAAATGAAGTGTCCATAGAAAAATAGCACAAGCATGTGTAAAATCTGATATGCCACTTCTGCCTTGCAAAACAGTAGCTGCCCTGCAGGCACCTGGAATTTTCAAGCTGCTGATCCCAGGAAAATAAATTCTCCTCTGTAATTATTCTCATATAGTTGACAATGCATTAAATGGCTCCCTCTCAAAAAACCCTCTCAACCAACCAACTGTTCTTTTTCACAGTGAGCCATTTTATTAGCCCTTTGATGAGGGAAAGATGACCATTCACTCACAAGCAACTACCCAGTTCACCTTTGCTACTGAACAGAACTCTCTTGCCTGGTTTAGAGGAGCTAGGGCCAGGCTTCTGGGCCACACTTAACCTGCCTTCATGCCATGCCTCTACTATACCTGCAGGGTCACTGGCTGTGATAGAGCAGATAAATCATTGTTCCTCACAAATGTTTTGGGTTTTGGGTTGCAAAAGGCTGCTGCAGTACCTTTTTGGTGAGAGCAAGGGGAGATAAAGAGAACTAGTGCACTGCCCAGCTACTTGTGCAGGGCTGCAAGGCAGAAAAATGAAACCAAAGTCTTGGGAGATGTGCAGCAAGCTTTTCTGAAAACTCACTAGCTGTGGAAGTCCCCTGCTGCCAGTGTCAGCCATGTTCAGGCTCAGTACTGTGGTTTTCTTCTGGGAAGAAAGAAGAAAAAAAATGCAAAGTTTGCATTCAGTTTTGTGCAAGTTGGTTTCTTTTCTGGTTTATCTGATATCTTGAAAGTTGGGTGGATAGTTCATGAACAGATTTGTCTGTGGTATTGCTTTTGCACCTTCACAGTCATAGATGTCACTGGGGCTTGAGTCATCTTGCATCTGTGAATGTATGTGATAAGATGAAAGAGTGTGCATGACATATCAGATGAAGAGTTGGATCTGGCCTTCTCTGGTGTGAATCAGAGAAGTAAATCAAAATGGTAGCTCCTGTCATGTTAAAAAAACCACACCTCAATGAAAACCTCTCTTAGCAAAGCAGAAATGCTTCCTGTGTCTGGAGAAACATGTTAAGTGGGAGGAATTGAGGAAGCCAAGGTGGTAAGGAGTGAGATTCTGGGAATGCTTTGGACGTGAAAACACTTAATGAATCAATTATAAATGCGGCTGCCCTCTCTTCCACCTGCCAGGAGCCTTCCTCTCTCCACAGAAAGTTTGTGCTGCTCCTCAGCCTGTTTCAAATGGGAGGTGGTAGTGATGAGCTGTAAAAAGCATGTTTACTTGCAAGGTTGTTTTCAGATAGAGAGCACTAGTTGTGAAAGTGTAGAAGGAAACACAGGAACTCCAAACACAAGGCTGTTAAAGAAGTGCGGGTTACAAACACACCTCTGCTCAGCCCTGGGTGGGAGGTTTTGTTTCTGTGTGGGCTTGGAATCCATAGTTTGTTTGTCTAAAGGTGATTGCTGTTGGAATGAGCATTTAGCAACCACAGGTTGATTGATTGAGGTTTTGGGGGGGCAGTTCTTAGAATTATTGATTCTTCTAATTCTGAAAGGGGGTCCTCATAAAAATATAGCAGTATCAAATTGTAGTAAAGTTATTTTGCCTTGCACTTGAGCCTTGCCAAGAGATGTGAAAACTATGCACACACATTACTTACATGTTGCTAGGGTTTTCCCACAGACTGAAATAGTCTGCAAAGACCTGCAACAGACAGGAGAAGTTGGTATTTCAAAAGATGCTTATTTTTAATGGAGTCCAGGTCAGGGCCACATGAATGTGACTAACACCTGGCTAGCCCAGAGCCTGATTTACAGCTCCATCAGCAGGTGCTAGACCTGCCTTGTGTCTCTTGTGGAGGGGCTAAGGGGAGGGCATAAAGGGAGAAAACAGGATTTTGTCATGTCATACTTTGCAAGGGCCCTGAAAGCTGTAGCAGTGTAAAGAAAGCAGGGGAGAACAGCTGGTGGCAGTGATGCTCTGTCTTCCAAAAGCTCGAACACGCAGGCTGGCAGCCTGAGCCTGAGCACACGCAGCCTTGCACCCTCTTTCCAGCATCCTTCCCTCTCTCCTCCGCCACCTCCAGCCGACCAGATCCAGAGAGCCCTTGTCCGCAGGGGAAAGCCCTCAGCACCTTTCAATGCTCCACCGCATCGCTCCACAGCTGCCCGACCGCCTCCGTGCTGGCGGGGAGTAGCCGGTCACGGCGTTAACTCCTCCCAGGGCTGGAGGGCAACCATGTGATTTTTTTACGACTGCTCTCTAGGACAGTGTTTGCTCCGCTCCCGGCCACCATTGCTTCCTTCCGAGCGTCCTTCCAAGGCAGGACCGCAGCTCCTGCCAGCAGTGCCAGGGGCCAGGTTTTGGGGAGCAATGACAGAAGTAAAGAGAGAGATGTTCGGGCAGATGCCCCAGGAGGATGGAGGAGGAGTGGTGAAGTTCATCTTAAAGTCGGACAGCGTGAAAGTGGAGATCCTGTCCTTAGGATGTATAATCACCGCTCTGGAGATGAAAGGCAGGGATGAGGAGTTTTCAGATGTTGTCCTAGGCTCTGACACTTTGGAAGGTGGGTCTAAATCTGTTTATTTAAAAAAAAATAAACCAAATCAAGCAATTTAACCAGCGTTTTCTGGTTTATTGCCACACTGCATGATCTGCGTCTAAGGGTCCCTTCCAAATCGTGGGCTGAATAAATACAACTCCTGCTACCTGTCCTGGGCTCAGTGGTGGATGGGGAATGGGGACACTGGTAGCTCCAGGTTCCAGTGTGCCCCTCTAATGGGGCAGCTCTGTCACACTTTGTCAGTGACAGAGGCCTTTTCTGCAAATTTGCAAAGAATACAAGATCCCATCAGGCTGTTTCAATCAAAGGTGTGCATGACTAGTGAGCTGTGTGTCCTGTCAAACACCAGGACTGCAGTTAAGTATTTAATACTGGTGGGAAGCAGAGGGAGACATCTCTGAGTCTGTAAGCACACCTGGAGACCACCCATTCTGTCTCAATCCTTTTGTTTAACCATGTGCTGTTCTTCTGGCCAGGTTACACGAGGAAGCACCCCTTCTTTGGCGCTGTCGTGGGGTGTGTTGCCAACAGGATTGCAAAGGGGAGTGTGGGAGAGCTGAGCACGCACACGACCAATGTGATCAAGCAATGCCTGTTTATTACAACTAAGAAAGCCCTTTTATAATGTTCTCCCGCACACGTGAGTAACATGCACTACAGGTCCTCAAGATTGGACAGTTAACTTAGCCCGCGCTTTAAACCTTCTTATGATTGGATAAAAAGTGCCACATCAGCCTTGACAGGCTTCCTGCCATGTGTAACTTCCTCTTCCATCCCAAACCCTTCTGGGGGCTGTTTGTCTCGTCGGGTTTCTCTCCCCTCATTCAGGGTCACATCCTTATCGCATTCTTGCTCGACTGAGGCTCTTATCAGTCTTGTTCTCACACAGGATTGCTCACATGGCCATTCTCTCGCAGAAAGCCCTCTAGAATCCCAACAGGGGAGATTCATTGTGGATGGGAAGGAGTATCAGCTGTTCCTCAACAATGGGCCCAACAGCCTGCATGGAGGAGCCAGGGGGTTTGACAAGGTGAAAATCAGGCTGGTAGATCCTAGTGCCCTCTGGCACACAGCCTCTGGGGTTGTGGCAAGAGGATATGGTGTCTTCACTCCCAACCCTGTAGGGTTTTCTACTGGTTATTGAGTTGAATCAGCTCCCAGAAAGTACTGTGAGTACAGGAGACCCTATGAACTGCTGGGTTGGCTTGTCTTTGCCCTGGTGGCTTAGCAGGATTGACGTAGGTCATCCTTGGATGCCATGCAGAGGGCTTCTGTGCTTCCTCTGTGTTACGGCAGCCCTGAGGCCTGGTGAGCCCAGTTCTGACAGGGTTGTCCTAGGGAGAGGTGTGGCTCCCGCAGAGGATGCAGGACATGGTGGGACATGGGACATGGCAGTGAGGACCCAGCCTCATGCATGAAGGCCAGCACACTGCCTCAGAGTGGTTGCTGTAGTTGTCCCAGTGCCCAAAGAAAGTTTCCTGGAGAACAGTGATCCATGCAGATTCATTTGCTCCTGCAGTTTCAAGGCTGTTACCTGCCCAGAGCTCCTCCCAGAATCTGAAGGTTGTAGCTTTGCAGAAACTGAGTATCATTACTGCTTGCTTTCAACAGCACTCCCAAGTGAGGGGAGAGCAGGGTGGTGCTGCAGGTTCAGTGCGGTTATTGCATTATTGTAATTTGGTGCTGCTTTCATCCCAGTGACAGCACACTCTGGGCTCTCTGACTCACACCAGCTGGTAATTAGACCTGCAAAACACCCCAGCATCACTGTGTCCCCTCCTCAGGCCTTCCCTGTGACCTCCCAAGATAAAATAACCTTTCCTTGGCCCCAGGGCACTCAACCACCCTTCCTATCTTCAGCTGCTGCTGAAGTCCACATACCATCTGTATGCTACAAGTGCAGCAAAGCATGTCCTCTCTTGAAAGTCTCACTCAACTCTGCTGATTGCATAGCAGGCTCAGAAGTCTCTGCTTTCCTGAAGCCTTGGGCTTTGTCAGATCAAATGCATTTACAACCAGCAAGTAGTTGATCCACCACTTTCCCAGAGGAACACATGTAAATGTACTAGTGCAGCTGCTTTCCTGGGTTAATGTTTTGTTTTGTGAAAGCACATTCAGACTGACAGGGCAAAAGTCAGAGTGTCTGGAAAAAAGCTCGCTTCTGGGCAGCTTAGTGTGAACTAGCATCAGATTGGGATCAAACGCTCCTTGACAGCCTTAGAAAACAGGTTGCTGGGGTTACTTGGCTGTTGTACGCACAAGGACAATTTGGTTTAAAGTTTCTTTATACACCCTGACCTGTTGTGAACTGGAGCTGAAAACATGCACTCCTTTGCAGAAGGGGGACATGGTCTCTTCTCTTGTCTCTTCTCCCTGCTTGCTGAGGGCATGCCAATGTGGTGGGGACAAGGCAGCGACACCTCCCAGACAAGCCTTTTTGTCTTCTGGCCCACAAGGCATGCTTGGGCACCTGCTCAAGACAGCCTCCAGCCAGGTAACAGTCACTGTGCAGAGATCTGTGGTTAGCCCTAACAAAAACAAGACATGCTGGCACTTGGCTGTGACTCTCTTGGCCATCTTGTCAGGTTTTTTTGTGATCTTGCAGACCTGGGTGCTGTGGTCAGTGCGTGGTCTGATGACACGTGGTGGCAATATCTGACCACGCTGCTGGGGGACTGTGATAGTTTAAGCCCTGCCGTGACTGGAGACCATGCTGCCGTTGTCCCTCCCCCACCCTCGGACACAAGTAGGGCACAAACCCCGGGGTTAAAATAAGGAGAAATTTAATACAACAGTGTAATAAACAATCTGAACAACAACAATAGCAATAATAACAACAATAAACAGTAATAACAATAAACAAGATAAAAGATATACAGAGAGATACCACAGTGGACACAGCCAGCCCACCGTGTGTGCTTCCCGCGACAAAAGCCACAAAGGAAAGCTTCCCGCGCTCCTGTGCTGGACCTGACGTCAGCATGTTATGAATAACCCAGCTGGAGATCCCTTCTCCCTGCTGGGGAAACTTAACCCTATCCTAGCTGAACCAGGACAGGGACTTTAGAAAATAGCTCACTTATCTTTAAAAAACAGTGATATCTGTATGCTTATGGGCCTTTAATAGCTTCTTCAGAGAATGTAAATACAAACTCATATATAAAATCAGTGTCTGACAGCAGTTGAACTGCACTCGGTGCAGGAAGACCTGCTCTGCAGCCTGGCTATCCCATTTGGCACCCTCAGTTCCCATCTTTGGTGAAAGTGTTGTCTTTTGACAAGTGCTCTGAGATTGTGATCTCTGCACAGGACATGAGAGGGGTCATCTCAAAAGTGTTATCTGGCCCCTAGAACTGTCCTCTTTGATTGGATATTACCTATTCCTTAGATGCAAATCTCCAGAGACTGAGCACCTCACCTCTTCTCACTCACACATCTGTCCTGCAAGGGGCTGAGATACCTGCTTAGTGTCAGGTTCATGGCCAGGATCAAACAGGATGTCTGGGCAGCTAAATTTACAACTTGCTTTGCTCACCAGCAGGTTCAGCTCCAAGAAAAGCTCTGGTCTCTGGCAGGGGCAACAAATGGAGAGGTCCCAGTTCTCTGATCAGCACTGCTGTGTGGATATATCTGACAATACATCTGGTACTATTTAACCCAACTCCACCCCCTAAACAGGGGCTCCCAGTATGTCCTAGAAGTCAGTCTTGAGTGAAGGAAGGGCTGCAGCTTGTTGAGGTGATGTTTTATACCAGGTAATCTATGGGAGGGGGAGTAAGTCTAGCTGCAGGGCAAAAATCATGGAATAACACAGGCTTTGACAGACTCCCATCAGAGAAAACTGCCTTGCTTGTTTGACTGTTCATCAGAAAACGTGTTTCCTGCTGCTGGCCCTGGCTGACCAAGAGCAGGCTGGTGCTTGTGTTTTTTCCCACTTCTCTTTTTCTTCTTCAACAAGGGGTTATTGGTTTTTAGTCCTTCATAGGGAGAAAAAGATTGTTTGGGCTTTTCTTTTTCCTTCTAGGAGTAAGAGCAGGAAAGATGACTGTAAAAACCTTTGTTGAGTGCTTTTTGTCTCTGGGTTCAGGGGTTCAGCCCAGCCTGAGACAGGAGAGAAGAGCACCGTGTTTCCCATGACTGTCCCACCAGCGACATGCTCTACTTCTTGCAGGTTTTGTGGAGCCCCCAGGTCCTTCCAAATGGCATCTGCTTCTTCCGGCTGAGCCTTGATGGTGAGGAAGGCTAGTCTGGGTGACCTACATGCTCAGTGGTGGGGAGCTGACCATCAACTATCGAGTCCAGACCAGCAAGGCGACACCCATCAACCTGACAAACCATGCATACTTCAACCTTGTAGGGCAGGTAAGCATGGAGAGATGAACCCTGTGAGGGACACTGTGCACGGAAAGGAAGCCTGGGGATGATCCATGGGCTTCCCATGGGATCACTGGGACCAGCATGATGGTCTGAGGACACAGCATGCTTCTGGGGACTCAGCAATGGGTGTTGTCTCTATGCATCATGAGCTGCGTACAGCCTACAAGCTGAGGCAGGACTGAATCACATAGACCTCACCTGAGGATGCATTATCCCAGTGTGTTGTGAACAGAGACATCCCATCATGAATATTAACTCTCCTTTTGTGTGTAATTGGGGAATTTCAGTCTGTCCTGGTTCCTTGGGAAGATTGCTGAGGAGGTGCAGAACTGGCATGCCGTTGTGATGGACTGGCATTTCTTAGCTGTCTCCTGTTAGCACTTCTGAGACAACGTGCTGAACCCTTGCATGGATGATGCAGCTGAGATCAGGGCCTGTAGTGCCAGCCAGAGTCAGTGCAGCACCGAAATACCCAGGACAAAATGCGGAGGAGAAACCATGGAAAGGAGACATGAGGCTGCCAAGGCTGCAGAGCGGGGCAGTAGCAGGGTGCAGAGGGCTCCCACATACCAGTCCAGGGTCCTGCCAGCTAGACAGGCACTGTATTGCAGCTGCATTTTAGTCTCACCTTGTTTATAACTCGGTTTGGAGGAAAATGATCTGGGAAATAAAATGTTGCTGGGCAGAGCAATAGGATGGGACAGTGCAGTCACACTTGGCTGAGAGAAAAAGACCCTTAAAAATGTTAGTGAGAGCCCCTCCGTGCAGGAGGTCTGTGCAGGCTACTGCCCTAATAATGTCTCTGCAGTTGTTAGTTTACCCTCCATTTGTCCTCCCAGTGATAGAGTAATATCAACATCTACAGCATGTAACTCATGCATGTTTCCAGAGGAATGGGAGACCTTTGCAATTAAATTGCTGCTCAGATTAGACAGTGATATGCAGGCTCAGCTTTGATTCTGCTCCCCTTCCAGCCCAGCAGGTTCCCTACCAGCATCCCTGAGGCTGTGGGAGAGGAAGAGGAGTGCAACCCCCCCCACTGCAGGAGATGAACCAGGAGGATGGGTTGCACTTCCTCACATTTGCTTCCCCTTTCACCTACTGCTGTGTGCTCAGCAACCAGCAGATCCAGTTGATCTGCAGAGTGTGGTACAAGTTTAGACTGATAGTCTCATCCCTGCAGGATTTACAGCTCCTAGGTCCCATGCAGGTTTTTGCCTGTGCTGGGTACCTTTGTCCTTGTGGTGGTTTAGGCCCTGCTGGGACCTGAGACCATGTTGCCGTTGTCCCTCCCCCACCCTCAGACCGCACGGGGCAGGGAGTGAGATACAAAACCCAGGGTTGAGATAAGGAAAAATTTAACACAACAGTGTAACAAATAATAATCCAAACAACAACAATAGCAATAACAATAAACAGTAATAACAATGAACAGGACAAAAAATATACAAAGATATACCACAAAGATAGAGCAGTGAAGGGGAGCGATGATGAGATGAACAAAAGCTGTCGCTGCTCTTCCCGCACTTGGTGCCCAGACCTAACGTCAGCATGGTACTGAATAACCCAGCTAGAGCTCCCTCCCCCCTGCTGGGGAAACTTAATCCTATCCTAGTTGAACCAGGACAGTCCTGTGCTCAGGGTCAAGGTGGGGTGACAGCCAGTAGGTTCCCCAGGCACTGCAGGTGTTGCACCACTGCAGGCAGTCACTTTCCAGGTGTGCCTAGGGCTGCCTGAACGGCAGAAGAGCTGCAGCAGGAATACAGTATTTCCTATTCTCCTGCAGGGCTCACGGGATATCTACAACCACGAGATTTCTATTGAAGCAGATTCCTACCTGCCTGTGGATGACACCAAGGTCCCCACTGGTGGGTGGTGCGACATTTGCAGCACACGTCGGGGATGGTTTTACAGACGGGTGTTTGTGGGTATCGGGGACTGGCATGGGGACACAGCAGGGCCCAGGGGACCCCAGGCACAGCAGGGCCCTCATCCAGTGGCACCCTGGAGAGGGTGTGGACCAGGGGTGCAGGCAGGAGCAGAAGGAAATGGGGCCAGAGGCAAGTGGGATGCAAGGCTGCAGTGAGGGTCCAAGGGGCCTGTCCAGGACACAAGCTACCTGTGACACAGGACCAAAGCATGTCCCTCCAGACCTGTTTGGCCAGCATTTCCCTGCAGGCCAATCCACTGTCCCCAGGGCCAGTGGGGCTATCAGAGAGGGTCACACAGCACTTTGACAGCTGGGAGTGGCCTGGGGTTTGTCTGCTTTGCTTCCTCCAGCAGTGTTTGGCTTTATCCTACTTCTGTACTGGGATTTTCCATGTGATGTCAAGGTCTTACTTCCACAGACCATATTTCCATAAGATCAGCCCATGCTCAAAGTCTACAGAAAGCAGAATTAGTTTCTTAAGCCTCAGTGAAATGAGGGAGATGCAAGCAGCATGCACCAGGCTGCGGTCAATAAATGTGGTGACACACCAGGACATGCTCAGACTCCCTGATCTGGAGGGCAGCTCCCAGGCCAAGCACTGATCTCTAGAGCTGCTGGAATCTCTGGTGCTCGGGAGCCCAGCACTGTCCTTCCCTGCAAGAGCAGAGCCATCAGTCCTCAAATTGGGACAGTAGAGCTGGCAGTACTGCTGGGAGGCTGAAGACCAAACCCCAAACTTCTTTCCTGTCTTTAATGGCTAAAAGAGGAAGGCCAGTTAAGGAAAACAGTATATCTTTCATGCTAAGCAGGTTAATTAAACAAAGGTGGTATTGCTGCTGTCACCAGCCTCAGAACAGAGAAGTGAGCTGGCAGCCTTTTGCACCCAGTCTTGATTCACGGGGTAAAAAGGAGAAAACAGTTTTCTTTTTTTTCGCCCCACCACTTCTACTCTGTTTCTCCTCATAAACAACTGAGCCACTAAGTTAAATAATCTGAACAGGCTGGGACAGGGAACACATTTCCTGTACCCGCAGGAAAGCCAGCACTGAACACATTCACTCAGGGGTGGTCCCGCTGCTAACAAGGGGGCACCTTGCTTTAGGTGGCTTGATCGTCCCACTGCACTGCTCCAACACCCACTTTTCATTTAGCGTGACTGGTAAGAGTTGATCTAATCTCAAAATGAATCCAAATTTCATTGCTTTTAAGAACGAAAAGCATTATTTAAATAGAAAAAAAAAAAAAAAGCTGTATTTGCCTTAATTTTTGAAAAATGTAAAATAGATTAAAATAATCAAAAAAGCAGACTTCTAGATTTGCTCCTAATTGATGGCTCCAGTCTGACTGGCTTAGAGAAATGGATGCTGAGCCATGGCAGGTGAGGATGCTGCACTGTGCCGAAGTCTCTGTAGTGACCGGACCACTGAGCAGCCGATCCAAGGCAGAAATGCCAGGAAGGCTCCTCAGTGTAGCTAGCATCAACAGAAGAGAAACTGGGTGTGGGGCGGCATGTGTACCCGAGGGCTGCATGAGCCCACAGGGTGGTTTTTGCTAAGCATAGGCTCTGCTGGAAATGACAGGGCTTGTTTCCCTGACGCACTTGCAGGCCTGCTTTGCTGACTCCACCTTCTGACTTCAGAAGGGAGAGGAAGAGAGTCTTTAAAAAGAAAAAAAAAACCAAAACAAAACAAGAAAGCTTTTTAGCTCGGGTGTCTGCTAAAAGCAAAGTTACGTCTGAATTTGTGAACTAAAACAACTGTGCATGCATGCATCAGCTTGCGCCTGGAGGAGTGGATCTCCCAGCAGCTTTTGCTCAGCTTAGTGTGTCATGGGGGCTCAAGCCAGGGAAGAGCTTAAAGTTATACCATTGCCCTGCTTCTTCCCACTGCTTTCACCATGTTTCACATCTCAGTTGTGGCTGACTCACTGCCCCTGCTTTTTGCAGTTCCCTCTTGGTGTTTTAAGTAACTGTAGCCTTTGAAGCTGATAAAACTGTGTATAACTCTTAGCCCTGGGGTGAAGACAAGATTTGTGTGACTATTAAAGACAGAGAGAGCCCTTGCATGCAATGGCTGCTGTATTTTGTGTAAGTGCCTAAATCAAAATGTATTTCAAGGTGTTTTTACATCCACAGCTGAATTCAGTAAATGTACTCCTTTTAGCTAGGATCAGAAGCCACAGAAATGTGCTGTTTGTTAGATAGAAACTGATGTTTCTCTAGGTTTGCAGAGCAGAACCAGTGCAGAGTAGCAGCCGAGCTGGGCATGTGACTGCAGCAAGCAGAGCACAGTGCGTGGGGCCGGGAGCAGGGCTGGGATGCCTGTGCCTGCCATCCCCAACTCTGGCAGCTGCCTGCTGACCATGGAAACCTCTCCCTATAGAGAAGGGTAGAAAAGTGTGACTTTAGGGAAAAATCCCCTGCCCAGCCCTCCTCTCCCACCTTCCCCATGCAAAATTCCTTGCCTTTGGGTTGGGATGGCTGTGTTTTGCACTGTGTTTAGTGTGTTTTAGGATTGTTCTCACTGCAAGAGCTTTATCATAGGATGCTGTGTCCCCACATCAGGCCTTAATAAAGACTTGAGAGAAAATGCTGGGTTTATAGTCTTAAACCTTTCACTGGTGCCAGAATATAGCCCATATTCACCATCCTGGCAGGTTGGCCACATTCTTGGCTACCTCATGGATGTTTGTTTAGAAATCTGGTAGGATTCATTTATTTAGAGAGAGAATATATGTATATAAGTCTGTGCTGGGTTTATGTGTGTGATGGGGGTTTTTGGTAGCATATACATTGATTTATATAAACATATAAATATATAAAAATATTAATACCTAATACGTTTGGGGTTTATATTAATTGGCTTGTATAGTTACATATGCAAGTCTCCCCTCTTGTTTTCTAGCTCCTTGCCTTTGCTTTGTGCCAGCTAAGCCCAGCAGTGTCCCCAAGGGCTGCCATCTCTTCTGGGGAACAAGGTGGGGATGTCCCCATCCTGAGTCACAGTGGCTACAAGGCAAGCTTGCTCAAAGCAGGACACCACAATGAGATAAAGATTACAAATGGCTTAAAACCCTCAGCTCACCAAAAAGATGGATCTCAACCCTGCACAGAAGCCAGCACTGCAGTTGTTTGCTGGCATGTGGGTGAGTGGATGACACTGCTCTTCTTGCCCAGGGGAGGTTGGTCGCTGTGCAGGGCACTGGCTTTGATCTCCGGCAGCTTGTGGAGCTGGGGAAGAACTTGCAGAAGTTTCACCTGGATGGCTTCGACCACAACTTCTGCCTGCAACAGGCAGAGGCTCGACGCCTCATGGACAGGTAGGTTGGGACCCTGGCAGGGGTCTCTCACCCCTGGAGCTGTGGGATGCCCTTTTGGCCAGCCCCTTGGCATCTTCCACCACATTCTCCCCAGGGCTCACCACCCACCTACTGGCAGGACCATGGAGGTTCACAGCACCCAGCCTGGCATCCAGTTTTACACCGGCAATAACCTGGATGGGTCCCTGAAGGGCAAAGGTGCTGTCACATACCCCAGGCACTCGGCTTTCTGCCTGGAAACCCAGAACTGATGCTGTCAACAAGGTGAACTGTCCCCCCACCCCTGGGAGCTGCTCGGGTCCTGTGGCAGGGGACCATGTCACTAATACCACTTGTGTCTCTGTGGTGATAAATATATGAAGAGTCTGTTTGGCAAGAGGACACTTTGTGGACACCAGAACTGAGGCAGGCACAGGCCGTGGTATCCTGCAGCATTAGGCAGGGGTCAGTCAGTGCAGTAGGAACCGGCCCTGCACAGCCCAGATTCCCAAGGGTTCGAGGTCTAGAGCAGAAAACCCCACCGGGGTCTTGCCACATCCTCTCCATTGGACCTGAATTCAACCAGGGGTAGGACTCACCCACTCAGCCAGCTGGCAAGTAAAGGGCAGTTAAACAGTGCCGCTGGAAGTGCCCGGGAGAGCCATGGGATGCCACCCCAGAAAGGCTGAGGGGTTGCGGCCATCGCCTTCTGACCCATTCTGGTCCTATGGTGTGCGTTCACAATCACTGACTTGCTGCTGCCTCTCCCCAGCCCCACTTACCCAACACCATACTCTGGCCAGACAAGGAATACAACCATACCACATGGCTTGTGTTCAGTGCTGCTTAAGGAAAGGGGATGCTGACTCCTATCATCGAGAGAGGTAAGTCCTTTTAGCAGGTTAGCGAGAAATCCTGGCATTTTCAAACTACCCTGGGTACCCTGGGCATCCCACTTGGGAACTTTTATCCTCCTCTGTGGTTTTCACTGTGGTTTCTGCTGGCTTTAACTCCTGTCACCCTCTCTGCTGCTGCCTGGACTCTGCAAAGCTCTCACCCTCTGTCCAGCCTCACCCTGGGTATTAGGTTTTGTTTTGCGGGAAAATTGCACTGAAAACACCTTGCTTAGGGACATGCTGCACCTCAGACTACTGCAGGGGAGCATCTAGTAATACTCATGTGGAGCACGTGGGAATGCTGATAAAGTTGTGGTTGTTCGTTATAACATCAGCTACCCCAGCAAAATGCTCTGAACTGTGCTGGTTGCTGCTCTCTCCCCACCACTAACCTTCCCCCCAGCTTGGTGTGAACTCATCAGAGGGTGCCCTGCCCTTCCCGTGCTGGGCAACAGGGCAGCCCCCATGAACAGAGACACGAGGCCTGACAGCAGCATCACAGAATCATCTAGGTTGGAAAAGACCTTGAAGATTATCTAGTCCAACCATTAACCTAACACTGATCGTTCCCAACTCCACCATATCCCTCAGTGCTGGGTCAACCTGACTCTTAAACTCCTCCAGGGATGGGGACTCCACCAGCTCCCTGGGCAGCCCATTCCAATGCCTAACAATCCCTTCTGCAAAGAAGTACTTCCTAATATCCAGTCTAAACCTTCCCTGGCAAAACTGGAGGCCATTATCTCTTGTCCTATTGCTTGTTATGTGGTTAAAGAGACTCATCCCCAGCTCTCTGCAACCTCCTTTCAGGTAGCTGTAGAGGGTGATGAGGTCTCCCCTCAGCCTCCTCTTCTCCAGAAACAACCCCAGTTCCCTCAGCCGCTTCTCGTAAGACACGTCCTTCAGACCCTTCACCAGCTTTGTTGCCCTTCTCTGGACACGACATTGCAAGAGCACAGGCATACCGTGGTCATGCAGAACAGCTTTGAGGAGGGTGGTGTGCTGGGATTATCCCAGCTGGCCACCCTGGCTCCTCTGTCTTAACTCCTGTTTTGAAGCCAGCAGTGATAGCTATGCCTTGGCTGAAGTGAAGCAGGTGTATCCATCTATAGTCCTGAATGTACAACTGCAGGAGGTAAATCATCATCTTAACGTTGTTTTTCCACATGAAATATGTATCATTCCCAAAACCCTGTAACAGGGGCCTGTCTGATGAAAACCTCATTTCTGAGATTTCATAAAAAATTGGCATAAGCCACAGGGCTGGCAGTGCTATCATATTAGGGAGCTGACAGCCTCCTCCCAAGGGACACGGGATTAGCTAGCCCTTGGGCCAGGCACCCTATGGTGGGCACCACAGCCTGACTTCCCCCTGCTCCTGTCACACTGGTGCTGAAGGGGCTGCACAAGCCCCGTCTCTAGCAGATTGTGGCCAGGGCCTGCAGCACTCCAGCGTGCCTTCAGGCCCCAGCAGAAGTGCCTGGCAATTGGGCTCACAGATGTAGCAGACCCGTCAGGGTCAGTTCTGCCACCCTGACCCCCAAAAGGAACACCCCAATGCTCTCCTGTGATGCCCCAAGGCACAGACGTGATGGTTGCACGTTGCAGCGGCTGCAGTTCACCGTGGAAGGGCTGGTGTGGCTTGGGGAACAAAGCCCTGCGGATCCAAGCTCAGGAAACGCCTGGTTGCAATCCAGCCTGCTCCAGGGATGCCTGGAACCAAGGGAGGCAGCACAGCCACCCATAATTTTGGTCACCACAGCTGCACAGAAGTATGGATGTGATGGCTGGCTGTACACAGTGGCCACAGCCGCGGGCAGGGCCACCCCTGCCCTGGCACAGCTCTCGCCTTCTTGCTCAGGTTCTCACTGCTAAGCCTGGGTTTGCAGAAACTCCAGGCTCCTCCTGTCTTCCGAGTCTCCAGGTACTGAAAAACAGGTACCAGTACAGCCGTCGTGTTAGTCTGCAGGTTTATTGTGGAGTAGGTTTGCCTTAGTACAGAAGAGAAAAAAGCTGACCAAATTCCAGAGCAGCGGCATGTGTGCCTGTCACCAGATGTGCTAGAAATGGGGCAGGCAACATACAACCAAGAAATACTCCAAACACAAGTCATAGGCTTTGGGCATTTCTGCTAAATCACTGCAGGGCAACATTTGTGTCACTCCCACCCCACTCTTCCATTGCAGCAATGGTGGAATTTCATGGATATTGCCTGAATATTGATCCCTGCACCTGGTAGATCAAACACTCATCCCCACCACTGAACACCCCAGGAGTGTCCAGGCAGAGATCAAGCACCGCAACAGTTAGGATGAGGCATAAAGGTCAAACAATGCTGCAGCATGACAGTACATTCAATATCTGCACTATTTACTGAAAAAGCTCCATAAAGTCATCATTAGGAGGAAACTTGTTTTTTGAAAATCATGGGTTACCCAAGGTGTGAGCAAAATTAATCTTGCAATTCTTTTTCATTTAAGATGCTCTGCTGTCACTCACACATTTGAAAGCAATCTGCCATGACAGATTTCACAAGAAGCATGAACAGACCTCACTCTCCATTTCAGTGCTTGTTTACTGCCAATACTGGCCTTTATTTCTGCTAGAAATCCCACCACAGTAAAAAAAAAGGTTTGCTTTTTTCCCCCTCTGCCTCGTTTGTTCACAGTCTAACACTGTTTCCAATCTTTTGCTGTGATCTGTGTCAACGAAGTGCCTTATGATATTCTTGACTACAGGATGAGGACAAACACAAGAGTTTGACATACTTATGCACAAATAATTAATCCTGCAGGTGTGCAGTTGCTGTAAGAAATTAGTTTAATTCAGCAAAATAGTCTCTAGGCTCTGGGCTGCATACCAATTTCTGTGAAGCAGGTTAGAATTCCTGAGGTCAGCCACGAGAAATTTTCACTTTAAGGAAGAAAGTCTGAGTGAGCTGCAGAAAGACCAGGAACAGCTTTCTTTTGCCTCTCAAACACATTTTCCTAAGGTCCTTCAGGAAGTAGGGTCAGAAGACCTTGTGTCTTCCCTCAAAAAAGGAAAACGTGTCTTAAGACATTTTAAGAAGTTTTCTTTGTATCAGTAGCCTAAAAAACTAAAAAATGCACAAGCAAAAGTAGCAATCGTCAAGTTATTAATGATTTCTATTACCTTTAGAGGTTTCTGCAGATGTTACTCGTTTAAAAAATGTGTTTTGAATAAAAGCTGATCCTTACATTTTTGGGCATCTGGTATCACAACTAGTCAAGCACCAGAGAGTAAGTTTTGCAGAATAATTAGAGAGAAGAATGAATGCCCAGTAAATATTGTAAAGGAATAAAAAGGGATTAATCAAATTTTTAGCCATCTGCAGAGATGGATTTTAAAATCCATTTCAAAGAAAGCAGAAACTCATCCTGAAGACCATTCAACAAATGTGAAAAGTGATTAGTTTGAGAAGACACTGATATTAGTCATTCCCATTTTAGACATTTTTCATCCACATTACATGGCACATAGCCAAATGTTAACAGAAGCAGCAGGGTTACTACAGAGAAGTTTTAGTTAAAAATACACATTTTATTTCAATGTGCCAATAAAAAAAGTCCCACATTTTCATATCACAGGAAGTTAATTCATACAATAAAAAGAGACCTGTGCTAGTCTGTTGGTGTGACTAACTCAGAAGACCCAGATCATGCCAAATTTCAGCTGATATACTCTTCTATCTACACTCTTACATTTACAAAGACACCACAAAATCCCTTATAATAATGTAAGCAAAATAACTTTCTTCCTAAAAGATTAGCTTCATAACTTTAATCCATTCTTTCAGGACTTGCACTTCTTTGGGGGCTTCCTGATGGTGAATGACTGAAAGGAAAAGAATCCACAGTTAACATTTCAGTAGTCATTTGAGATTCAAATACAGGAAAAAGCAGGATACCTAGATTACTTCAGCACCCTTTAAGCACTGTTTTTTTAATAACCAGTCACTACCGACAAAATTAGCAGGTTGATGATTTAATGTTAGAGATAATACACGTATTTTATTCTTTTTACTTCCACATTTTTTCATTTCTCTAGTTATTTTTACAATACAATTTAAATGTGATAATTGTAAAGTCATCTAAAGGGTACTACTAATAGCAGCTTTCATGGAGGCAGGATACTTCTTCACTGTTCCAAAAAAGCAGATTGTCAAAACCTATTATGGTGATCACTCAGCATTTACAGGCATTTATTCAAGTTCCTTGTGGTTGGTTGTGAGGTTAGACTACATGTAGCCACATTTTTAAATGAAGCAAATCTTAAGTGTAGAACTTCTCTAAGTATTAAAAAAATCCCTCAAAACCCACCCAAAAAATCCTTGCAGGCCAGAAATATCACCAAGGCAAGGGACACATCATGGCAGATCGACAGCTATTCTTACTAGGATATATCCCCTCTCTGCAAATCCAACTCTGAAGTTGTAAAAATGAACTATTAAAGAACTCAAACCGGGGACAAAAATTATGCTGAATCTGTCACTACACATACATGTACACACACACACACACACACAGAGATAGTTATTTCCCAATTTACTGGGGAAAAACAAAAATCTGAGTAACATCAATAAAAATAACAAGCTCGATCTTCCATTCTGACTGCTAAGCCAGGTTACTCCACTCTCCCTTCCCCAATCTCACTGCATCTTTTAATAAGACTCAAAGCTGATGCCCACAGTTATTCTGTGCTTTTAGCTCACCAGGTGAAAGTCTCTGTGCAATATAACCATTAGTCAACTGAAATGAACACAGGCAAGACATAACACTGCCATGTAACCAGTATCCTGAGGAATTATGACCACATATATATTATCATATATAAGACCACAAACACAGCATTATTGCTGTCAAAGAGATCTTGGCAAAATACCTTTCCAGTATTTTCCTACAAGCAGCAGTCAAACTCCTTAGCAAAGATCACTGCAGATACTAAAATGCCAGCTCTACAGAGTCTATATTATTAGTAGGGAGATCAACATACCTTCTTTTTGGAGATGGTGATCGGGACTTTGACTGACTGTCAAAACAGAATTATCATCAATGCAGCTTAAAGGTCAAATGGAACTTTTATATTCAAAAAATAAACATCTTAGTAACAGAATTATTACGGGAATCTAGCCAGAAGCTTTAAAATGACAAAGTTTTCAAATCAACTTTTACTCTGATGGGGATTCTCAAGTCATTTAGCATGGGGATTAATTTTAAGCAACTGTCTTCAGAGAACAAAACAGGAAAACAAGGGATAGTACTGAGGTGAAGCTTTGAGAAAAGAAACATCACATATTTCGGCTGTTTTATCAACAGCATTAATAAAGCTGAAGCCCTTTATCCAATGGACATAAAAATCTAACGGAACAGAGTACAACGACACATAAAAAAATAATCAGTACTATGTTGGAACCTGCAAAGAGTTAATGAAAACAAAGACATGGGTAAGGAACATATTGCAAATAGCTGCAGTGAAAATTTTATAATCTTAGTCATATCGCAAACAGGTTAGATGGACACTGATGTTTGGGGGATTTTTTTCTAAAGGACTAGGCTCTGTTAATCATGCAAACCTACTACTGAATTCTAGATACTACTGCAGGCTTTATCTCTATATGCTTACCTCTTAGCTAGTGAGCCAGATTTTGATCTGCCATGAGACCTAGACCTGTAACAAGAAAAAATACAGCTCAGCAGGGAAGCTAGTAGCATGCATGCTCCCACACTTGAGGCAGCAAGATTCACACTAAATGTATAAAAAATGTCACGTTGAATAGACAGAATCCTCCAAGTTTCAAGGACTTTTCCTGCTAATTTCAGAAGAAAGCTTTTTAAAAGGATGCTGCACATGTTGCTCTGTACTTTGGTTGTTCGCTGATGACTGGTGTTTGCTGATGCAGGTGGCAGGAATACATGAACAACCCAAATCCTGACCAGTATTTTCACAAAGCTAATAAAAAGCTGTGCTCTAAACTTGCAAGTTTTATTAGGCTTGAATGATATCTACCAGTATAGTTGAAACTGGCTGCTCCTACAAATACTTTCTCCTCAGGGCACTTCATCTTATATATGCATTTACTTTAAATCTGTCTGAACTTAACCCTTGTGAAAAGACTGTCAAAATCATCTGTCTTTGAGATAAGCCTGCTGCACCATAAGAATACTAATACTGCCTAAAACAGTAACTGAAATGTTTAGGTTCCCAAAGGAAACGTTCTAATTTCAACATCCAAGTCTTTCCACACAGCAACTTCTAAATACACACTTTGATGCTGTCAAACCAGCAAACATCATGTAATACTTATTCAGTATGTCTGCCTTATGAATCAAGAGCCAGTCTCTGGGTGCTATGCATCACTTTGATTCTTCTGTAAAGAAACCATCTTTAAATTGCCTTGTGGACTTTTAGCAGTGACTTCATTAGAGTTAAGCACCAGTATTTTGCCACTTCTCTGTACTTGTATGTCTGACTTTGCCTCAGTCACTTAATCTCTACTTACAATGAAAGGTGTCACACAGTAGAGTCTAGAAATATCACTAAAAGCATCTTTTAGACTGCAGAAAAACATCTTGGTACTTGAAAACAAAGGTGGTAAAAAAAGGCTGTTGACCATAGCTGTCTTCTCTCATCACTGACACGGAACAGTGATTAAGTCATGTTGAAACAACTAGTATTAAGACACAACATATTTTAGCAACAAGTAGAGAAAGTGTACCTGATCAGTGAAAGGCATTGCTCTACTGCCTCAGGGAATTTCCCTGTTGTTGCTAGCTTCTGAACCCACTTCTCTGAGTTTCTGCTCTTAACTAAACCTTCTTCTGGTCTTCACCTTTTCATTTCTTAAAAACTACTGCCATTGCTTGCTGTTCCACTCTCAGAAAATGCCACTACCACCTTTCAGCACTGTATCTCCCATCTTCAGCTGCAGGCTTTTCCATTCACTCCCTCAGTTAAAACTTCCTTTTATTTTTTGTTTCTTCGTGGTTGACTATTGTGTTATTTATTTCAAAGAGCAGCCATCAAACCAGAACAGCAGTCGAGGAATGGGCTGGGTCAAGAGCAGTACCATCTCCTTCAGAGCAGCACTTCTATTTATTCTTGTTATATGACAGCTTGTTGAGGACATCCAGTCAATTTATGTCAGCCACACTGCCTGGACAAGGTTGCATTCACTTACAATGTAAGGATTAAACCACAACTTAAAGAGAATGAATGGCATCCTGTGTTCTTTTAAAATTTGATCATCACTCTTACGGTACATTTGTTGGTACAAAGTAATTCTGACGCGTGTTTATCTCAAATTTAATTCAGCTCCTGCAGACTCATACTTTGTTATTCAACAGAGCTGGAAACAGCTGTAACACTCAAAGCACTAGCAAGCCCTGCATGACTTGCCTGGCTATATGCATTAATGCTTTAACACACATCCAGAAGAGCATCCTGATTTCTCTGACAAAAATAGGGAAGAATCCACATCTCGTGTTCTACACAAAGAAAAAACTTTCCAGATTCATTCTAAATTTGCTGGCTATGTTTGCTATTAATGCAACCTGATCAAAACAAGAATTTACGATGACTACTGGGACCTGGATATCAGTGATATGTAAATTAATAAAAAGAATGATCTTCTGCACTGCTTTTTAAAATTACAGACCCCTAAGTTAGCAGAGAGAAAACACAGCTTTTTCTGAAATGCTAACAGCTGTTAGAAAACCCAAGCAGACTTTTAATCAACTTCTACTGAGTATCTGCAGTCATAGAAGAGATCTTACCTGCTTCGGGGCCACGTAACAGATCTGGATCTAGATCTGGATCTTGATCTAGACCTGAAATAATGAAGACAAATGAAAATCTAAGAAGTCAATTCAACCAGAAGTGATTGCAATTATGGCACTAGTTAGATTAATGTCTACGTGTTGAAATTAAAACCTCTATGATCATTAGATATTTTAAAATTCATCATCAAATACACAGCTGTGTAAGGTCTCAAAACTAATCATATTCCCATGCTGTAAATTCAACTAGAAACTTTTTAAAGCATGCTAATGTCTGACTTCTAGGGATCAACACCTTTTGAGATCTCAAAACCAAAGAACATAAAACCTGTTAAAAATTAATACTAATTACCTTGATCTCTTCAAGGAACCCGATCGGGACCGGCGGGGAGACACAGACCTAGACCTACGAGGGGAAACGGACCGAGACCTACGATAGGAAGCTGACCTGGACCTGCAAAAAAGCCAATTAAAGAATTATGCACGTGTAGCGTTTTCTAAGCAAAAGAAGCAAATAATAATAAAAGACAAATTTAAGCACACCTCCTACCACGACTCCGACTGCGTGACCGAGAATACCTTCTTCCTCGGGACCTTGAGCGGGATCTAGACCGGGACCTGGTTTTAGGTTAGAGAAAACAGGTATCAGGAAACAGCTGCAGCACTTGCTGCATGTGAGACCCTGCTGAAGTCAAAACTGATTTCAGACAACTAAAGAACTAGCATCTGTCAGTTGGAAAAAAATCTCTGGGCCTACTTGTCTTGAGCATTTTACTACCTAGAAAAATGTTAAAAGCTGAATTACATTGCAGAATTACATTAGAATAGAAAACACTGTAATGCGTATTTAAAATAAACCTTGCAAGTTTGCAGGTCGACCCTCTTTGGCCCAAGGTCTAGCAGATCTAGACGATCTAGAAGTATCTATAGCCGATCGCTGCATCTAGGTGTTCTCTTCAATCTAACGACGATCAAACTGACAGCCCAATGAGCCAAGGTGAGGCTTGATTGACGCAAGAAGATTTTTCTAGGTGGGAATGTGGTCAATCTGGTGTTCCTCTTTCTAAACCGGAGGGGGGCCCCAATTGAAAGCCAAATTTACTGTTACGGCGATCACCGTCTCAAATTTTCTGCCCTTAAAGAATAAGGTGAAGCTACGTGTAGATGGCTCGAGGGGATCTGGCCTCTTATGCTGATCACCTCAAGGTCTAGGAGGATCTTAAGTGTCGGATTTGCAAGGCGCCTCAGCATGAAATCTTAAGGCTCGTGACATTCTGAATCAAGGCGACTGACTCAAACGAAGAAACCTGAAAGGTTTTGACCAGGTTGATTATTAAGATATTAACATTTGATA